TGTCTGGAGACATTTTTTTTGTTGTGAGGGGAGGATGTGACTGTCATCTATCTGGACATAGTCTGGGATGCTGCTAGGCTTCCTATAATGTACAGCATAGTCCCCACAACAAATATTTATGCAGCCCAAAATGTCAACAGTGCAGTTGTTGAAGAATCCTTCTCTATGCCTAGGGGTACCCATTCCCCTTGAATTACGATCCTTTCTTAACTATACTCCCTTTCTAAAGTGGAAAGAGCCATCTAAAACAGGTGTTCATCATATCCAAGGCCTGATGCCATCACCGTGACCATTGATAGGAAAAAATCCAACAAACCAATAATAGGGCATATTTTTCACTTTATAATTTGTATAAATGCCTTCTAATAAATTTTCATTTGCTTCTCCCAAGAACTTATGTAGAAATTAGAAAAGGTAACATTACATTCCTTTTAGAGCAAATAAGGAGTCTAGATTAAGCTAACCACAAAGGTCTTTCAGTTGTAAACATCTATGAATTCAGGAGGGAAAAGAAAGCGAAGCTCAGAAATGTTAAGTGACTTGTTCAAGATCACATGAATGAATCAGCAGAGTGGCAGAGATGTCCCAGATCAGACTTTTTGATAGCTCTGCCCTTCTAAGTGAGCTTTTCAAGGAAAACTTACCCACTAATTGCAAATTGGCCTCCCATCACCATGAGCAAGCTTTCCATGAAATACCAGGACAAAGGGGGGGGGAAAAAGAACAGAAGAAAGATCAGTGGATAGACAAAGGGGATGGAGGAAAGGGAGGAGGAATGAGGGATGGGATAGGGAAAGGCAGTGAAATGAATCTGACGTAACTTTCCTATGTACATGTATGAATATACCACAGTGAATTTCATCATCAGGTATGTCCACAAGATACTAATTTAAAAAAAAAAGTTTAATAGCAGAAAGATCAGTAGTATAGAGGAAAGGGAACAGGCGGGGGGAAGAAGGGAGGTAAAGCACTGGGGAGTGAATTAGAACAAAGTATATCCCATATTTTTATTTTATTTTATTTTTTAGTTTGTCGATGGACCTTTATTTTATTTATTTGTATGTGGTGCTGAGAAACAAACTCAGTGTCTCACACATGCTAGGCAAGTGCTCTGCCAATGAGCAACAACCCAGTCCACATGCTTTTATAATTATGTCAAAATTAATCCTATTGTCATGTGTAACTAAAAAGAACCAATTTAAAAAAAAAAAAAACAAACACAGGACAACATCCATTCCCACCAGATAGGACACTTTCAGAGAACACAAAAGAGGGGGGAAGGAAGAAGCCACCAGACCAGGGAGCTCAATGTTTGATGAGCTGAACTAACCCTGGCAGTCAGTGGAGGACAAGCCGTAGAGCCACAGGGTCCTCATGTTCTGCCCTAGGAAAAGGCTTCCACACACTTTTAGTTCATTATTAAGGCTGATCTAGACAAAGGTATGCACATAAGAAGCATCAGGCTTCTCTGATGTAATGCTCATCTACAGAGGCCAGTTTTTAGCTTTGCTTTGTTTTAAATTGGGTATTGTAGTACTTAAAGACTAATGAAATGACAGTGAGGATAGTTTAGTGTGTGGGACCTCCCCCAAAAGATGTGGGGGGCTCAGAGTCTTTGAGATAACTTTGAATCAACTAAGAGTTTTCAAAGTCTCTATAGAAACATGACGTCTGCAGGCCATAGCCTATGTAATTTAACACTAGTCTTACCAGATACTTTCACACCCTTTTATCAAAATCAGACATGAAGGAAGAGAGGAGGAGACTTGTTTTGTAATTAATTTGAAACTATGGGGATCTTTTCAGGGTTTTTTTTTTTTTTTAGGAACTTTAGAAATTGCTTGGGATGAACTGGTGCTGTAGCTCAAAGGAAAGACTTGTACTGTCTTTGAAAATCAGTGGAAACTGGGGACCAAACCCGGTTCTACCACTATTTTGCATTAGGTCTTAGTCATTCTACCTTAGTCATTCTATTCTTAGTCTCTATTTCCCAATCTGTACAAACAGGATAAGATGACCTGACCTCATAGGTTCCTGTGAGGCTTAGATTTTATACAGTACAGGCACAGGACATGAAATTCAAAACATAATAGACCAAACTGCTATGTTGCCTATCTTTATTTCCTTGTTATCTTCAATTGACCAGAATATAGAAGCCCATTCCCCTCACATCCTCTGAATAGTCCATAGGAAGCTGGGACATACTGATGGAAATCTACCACAGGGACATGAAATATACAATAAGAACTGCTATCCGAAGGGCAGTCAGTCAAATCTGCATTGTTTAATTAATACACCTTCTTTAGCCAAGGAAGAGCAATTTGTATGAGATAAGAAAGAAATTTTGTCCCAGGAACCTCAGCATACCCACAAACTCCAAGTTATGCTTTTAGTTCTTTTATTTACACATGTTCTTTAAAAAGCATTTCTATGGTTAGCATCTTCCATTGATTCTAATAATCAATCGTTCTTTTGTTTTTTACAGTTGGGGAAAACAGGAAGTCTCATTACAAGTTACAAAGTGATAGGTGGAAAAGTTCTAGTTAAGTCTTAATTGTTGCCTTCCAACAATTTTCTTTGCCATTAACTAACCTTGTAATATTGGATAATTCTTTCTGATCTCAAGTTAAGTATGTTCATCTGGGAGATCCTTTCCTGGACTGAAAGCCCATTTTAGGTTTCTATAAAAAGATCTACTTTCCCCACTCTCCTGAAATTGTCTATCTTGGAACTGACAGTCCCCTTACCTTTTATGTGTTCTTTCTCTCTGACACATTCAGACACCTAGCAACCTATGTTGTACAAAAGAGTAGCCACTGAGCACTTAAAATGTGGCTAGTCTCCAAAGAAGTATTTCAGACATAGCATACGTTAAAAGACTTTGTAGGAAAAAAATGTAAAATATTCCACGTATAATTTTTTACACTGGTTACATGTTAAAATGACAATATTTTAATATATTCAGTTACATAAAATATATTAGTAAAATTAATTTTATGTTTCTTTTTATTTTTAATGTGACTATTAGAAAATTTTAAATCACATAGTTCATGTTATATTTCTACTGGACAAGTGCTGGTCTATGTTAAAGGTTCTAGGAAGGAACTGTGTCTCTGTCACTTGCACGGGGACTCCTTTCCCAACTAGCACAATACCTGTTGCCTATTAAGTACACAATCAATATGTGTTTATTAATAAATTCTCTAAACCTCTCTCTACATATGTTTCTCCATTCTATATTGGAAATGGTGTCTTTGTTTAAACACAAAATAATTATAATAGAGAAGAAATTACTCCCTTTGAAAGGTTAAAAAAATTAATATTGCTGAAAGGTATGGAATTAGTTTTGATCTCTTGGGCAATCACTGTATTTCTAAATAAGTCTTTGAATTATAATATAACATATTACAAATTAAATACAGAAAGATGTTGAGAGGGAACAACCTTAGTGGGAAAAACTCTAGAAACAAACTTATGGAAAGCGGAGGTAGCCCCACAATCAATGGGAAGGTAAATGGATACCTCAAACATGTGATGAATATCTTTACTGTTTTAATTTTAAAAGCAGAAAGCTCATGGTGTTGATAGATTCCGGTGCTAATGGAAACACAATGCAAGTATTTATCCGAGAGAGAGAAAGTGTCTGTTTCCAAACTTGATCACTTGCCTAACAAAGAAGTGTGAATGAAAAATCTAGTCGCCAAAATATCTCAGTGAGTGATAGGCAGGCACAAAACACAGTTCTTTCATGAACTGGATCTCCAGGACACAACAGACTTGATGAGGACAGGTGAAAAGGGTCTGGTAGGTACACAGGACTCCATCGGCTACACTTTTCCTTCCCTGTCTTGAGTCCCCACTTCCGCATTACCAATGAAAGAACCAAACCACTATTGACCCCAACGCTGAGATAAACAAAAGAGAGAAAAGAGAGAAAACAAGCAAGCCACCTTGTTGTACCCACCAAATATGGAAGCTGAATATCTGAAGATATGAGTAAGTGGAACACAAAGGAGGAAGAAAAACAGAACGTTAGACACTAATTTTACCAAGACCATATCAAAGACCTGGAAAGACGTCCTTGTCCTGTTGAGGGCTTCTTAAAGTTTTGTCAGACTTTCCTTTAAGCCATCAAGTACCACATCACAAAACCTTTAACCTTGAGACCGACATGAATATACCCAGGTAACTCTTTAAGCAAGAGCTGGAATCTGGCACCTTCGGATGACAGCAAAGAAAAGAGTCACCTGGGAATGGGGTTGTGAGGAAACGGTGAGGACTTGGACAGAGAAAGCAACACTGATTTTCTAGAAGCATCGGTAAGCACAAGCAGACAGCCAACAGGTTGCCCTTGTAGCAGAAGCCACATCACCTAGGGACAGATCAACTATGAATGTTTTGTCAGCCGTGATTTAAAACCAGCTCAGTTTTTAGGCCTTTATCAACTTCTCTATGGACCAGGAAAAGAAAGGAAAAAAAAAAAAAACCCTTATCTGTACATAAGAAAAAAAATGGGGGGAGAAAAGAGGAAATTACAGAACAGAGGACACCCATGTACACCAGTTTACGAATGATGTGGGTGGTGAAGCTTCAAGAACCCAATTCGGGAGCGGAGGGGAGGGGAGAAGAAACCACATCCAGTCGGAGCTCAGCTGAGATCTCAGCAGAACAAGTGTCAACGCTTTTAAAGGGCACAGCGTGTTTCAGCCACAAAACGCTTCGGCTGGCGCAGCAGGCGGTGGGGGGCTGCTTACCCGGAAGCCGGCCGCGGGTGGGGTGGGGGAACACCCCAGAAACACCGACGGCGATCGCGTCCCCCACCACGCCCTCCCTCTGCCCGCCACAGGAAAGGTGCGTCTGGTGTTAACGTCGCGGGTCCCGAGAGGCAGGTGGCCAGCGCCCTTCACCTTGGCGCGGACCCCCGACGACCCAAACGCCCGCGGGAAGGGAGGCTGAAAAGTCGAGGCAGAAACAGCACAAACGACGTAAAGACACGTTACCTTGTTCATCCCATTCCCCATGGTGGCTGAATGCGAACTCTAGCACCCTTGGCAATGTGGTCGCAGGCTCACTAATGGCATATTACAGCGGGAGGGAGGAGCAGGTAGGGCGGGGGCAGAGGCGCTCGGGAGGGAGTTAGTGCTCGCTGTATAAACAACAATAACAATGACTGTCGTCCGGGTCCGCCCGGGAGACCCGACGCGCGCTAGGGATCGAGCATGGATGGCAGGGCTTTCCGCTCAGCCGCCCCGGAACTTCCCAGCGCGAGCAGGGCAGAAGCGCCCGCGGCTTTGCCGGGAAATGGTCTCGCTTTGCCGGTCCCCGCCCCCGTGCGCAGTCGGCTGGCGGAACGCGCGCCCCGCCGCGCGCACCCTGGGACTTGTAGTTGGATTCCCGGCGGCCGCGCCCCGCCCGCCCCCGCCGACCGCGGAGGCTCTGCGGAGGACCGGGAGGAGCCGGGCAGACGGCTCCTTGGCTGCAGCGCGGAGACCAGCGCGCACGCGCAATCTGAGTCCAAGCTCCGGGAGGCTGGCCTGGCCAAGCTGGCCTGGGAGTACGCGCAGGCGCTGTACGTCCTATGTCAGGGAGGTCACTCTGTGGTCCGGGGTCCCCAAATCCCCCCCTGGCCTTTTCCCCTGGGACAACTTTGAGGGGGCTGTTACCAGCAGTCGCTGCCTTGCCTTGCCTGCCTGGTGAATCAGGTGCTAATCAGAGCCCTAGTCTTTGGGGCTCCCCTATCTGGAGTTTCTGAGTGTGTGACAGATTTAGGCTGGGGCATTCCTGTGGCCCTGCCCCACCCACCACACCGAGAAGGCTAGCCCGCTGGGGAGTGGTGGGCTAGGTGACTCACCTCTGGGGAGGCATGACCTCCTTATTTGGGGGAGCAGTTGGCCAGGGACCTCATACCTCTAGGCTTTAGATGTGTCTCTTCATCAGTGTATCTTGGCTCTAATAGGCGCCTAGGTATGTTGATATATATGGTTGCTTTCTAGAAGCCCCTTCATTGCTGAATAACATAGCATTGGGGTTTTGTCTGGAATGGATCACTTTCTAACCTGAAGAATTGTTTGGGGGTATTTTATCTTACTAAATTATTACTAAATTACTAAACTATTAATTAAGTTCCTTTCTGGGCATAGAATACTCAAGCTAGGGGTTTCTTGGTTTCATTTTTTATCCTTGCTATGACTACATATAGCAGGTACTTAAAAAATTATTTGATGAGCGAACACTACTATCAAACTAACTAGTTCACTGTTGACTCATTTAATTGGCCCTTCCTTGTTCATGGAGCTGCACGCTCTGGCCTCCTGTGTGTTCCTTAGACCTGTCAGCTTTGATCCTGTCCAGGGACTTGTGTTGTGCCATACTCTCTACCCAGACATCTTGGTCTCCTGCTCTTTGTGTAGCAGCCTCTTGTCTTTGAGGTCTTAGCCCAAATGTCATCTCATCAAAGAGGCTTTTCCTGACCTCTCAGTTTAAAGGTGAGCCTCCAGTTGTGATCACAGTACTCTATGATATTTTCTTTATAGCATTTAATATGATTAGAAATGATCATATTTGTTTTCTTACTTTTTTATCAGTCACCTCGCACAAAATAGGGAGTAGTAAATATTTGTCAAATAAATTAATGAACTCTTGTAGGCTGAAAAAACAAAAGTGATATTGTGAAGATTGGTAACATTTTTAAGAAAAGCATACAGACTCCATCTGCTTTTTCTTTGCTTGCACACCACATCTCTGGGCAACAAAAGGTACCAGAACACCATGTGTAGGAAACCCCACTCAATGTGCACATGCATTGTTTCTAATAGGCCACATGGGACCCAGCCAGGCTGTGCCCTTTCTGCCCCTTACTCTAGGATTGTTCCTTTCCTATCACCTTCACTTCCTGTTTTCCCTCCTGCCTCCCACTCAATAGCTGAACAGCCTGCCTCTATCTGCTCTGTACCACACCATCATTGTGTCTTTATTTTTACTGACCTTGTGTTTAGGGAGAGCACAGCATAGTTAGTGAACTACCCCGGAAATCCCAAGGCTCACCTCCATTCCTAACTCAGAATAATCTTGGGCAAAATGATCAATTTTCTGAGCCAGCTTTTTCAAAATTTTTAAAATGAGAGCATTGAACTGTGAGTTTTTGAAGGTTCTCTACAGCAATCAGCCAACTGCTTTTATTTCCCTCTGATGTCCTTGGGCTGTTGTTTCCAGTAGAAAGATGAATTTTCAGAGTACCCCCGGTTCATGAGGTGGCACTTTCCCATAAATGACAAATCCATACCCAAGTTTTCTTCCGTCATTCATTTGCAACATTTCTTATACATATTTACCTGATAAACTTATTTCTCCAGCTCAGATCATCTGCTTGACAATTCCTCAAAACCTATCTCCCAGCAGTCAAAATTAGCCCTCAGTATAGCTGCATTCAATATGGCTCTAGAAGGTCCACATACCCAGAGCTCATCTCAAATTTCCTAATTTTTCTTTTTATTTAAGTGGGAAAAGAGAAGACAATTAATACCAGAAGTTGAAAGAGTCATATTTTTAAACATTTTATTTTTAAATTTAATCTTATTCTTTAATTTTGAGGTATTCTTCTCAAGACTGTCTCTTTGCTCCCTTCCATCCTAACCCTAGAGCCCAAAACCACTTCTTATCATAAGACAATATAAACATAAATTTTTCATCTCTTGCTATTCTAAGAATTTTCTCTCTCTAGCTACCGATTATAGAAAGAAGAAAAGGAAAGAAACTGGTAAACAACGCTAGCATGTTTCATATCCAAAGTAGAATCTGTTAATTCATTTGTGTTCTCATAAAAAATTCCAAGTGCTACTTCTACTCCATTTACAGATTTTATTTTCCTTTTCTTTCCTGTCATTTCCAGTTTCTCATCACTGCCACCATCACACATATTGCCAATAATTCCCAAACAAAAGTGAAGCTTTCATGTGTATACAATAAACAATGCCCGCAAGTCATGGGAACCAGCTGGGTCCGTACTTCAACATGGTTAAGGATATTTGATGAGTAGCATATTTAGTGAGCAATCATTGAACTTTAAGATAGAGATGAGTAAAATCCCACAAGCAGAAGTTGAACCATTAGAGTCAGCCAAATCATTAGAGGTGTTAGTGATGATTTCAGAGAATTGAGATAAACCGCTGTTGAAGTGAGAAGTAGTTATGCAATCTTCCTTAGTCTCTTGAATATACTATAATCCAGGGCTTCATTACTTCAGGACTACTGACATTTGGGGTTGGATGACTTTTGATTTGGGGGACTGTCCTGTGCATCATAGAATGTCTAGAAGCATCTCTGACTTCTACTCACTTCCTTCCAGTAGCACTCCATTGGTTATGACAATCTAGAGAGAAAAATACTTCCCACAACTATCATCTGTATTATAGGCTACAGGGATGGGATGTATTATAAATGAAATATATTTGCCCCATCTCAAAAAGTTTTTTCTCAGCAAAAAAAAACAATCTGTGAGGTGAATAGAGAACCTAATCTTGGGAGCAAATCTTTATTCCTCACCCATTAGAGCACTAATCACTAGGGTATATAAAGAACTCAAAAAGCTGAGCACAAACAAAAAAAATCAATAAATGGGCCAAGGACCTGAACAGACATTTCTCAGAAGATGATATACAATCAGTCAACAAATATAGGAAAAATGTTCATCATCACTAGCAATTAGAGAAATGCAAACCAAAAACACTCTAAGACAAACAACAATAAGTTTTGGCGAGGATGTGGGGAAAAAGGCACAATCATATACTGCTGATGGGACTGCAAATTGGTGCAGCCAATATGGAAAGCAGTATGGAAATTTCTTGGAAAACTGGGAATGGAACACCATTTGACCCAGCTATCCCTCTCCTCAGTGTATACCCAAAGGACTTAAAAACATCATGCTACAGGGTTACAGCCATATGGATGTTTATAGCAGCACGATTCACAATAGCTAAACTGTGGAACCAACCTAGATGCCCTTCAATAGATGAATGGACAAAAAAATGTGGCATATATACACAATGGAATATTACTTAGCAATAAAAGAAAATAAAATCATGGCATTTGCAGGTAAATGGATGGAGTTAGAGCAGATAATGCTAAGTGAAGTTAAAAATTTAAAAATTTAAAAATTACAGTTAAATCTATCCTAATAGATCACATTCATTCTCTGCAGATTTGTAAGGCCACCTTGTGAAATAAGAACAAATTATGAACAAGAAGCTACAATTATTGGCCATTACACAAGCCATGATTTTCTCTATGATCTTGTGTAGAAAGAAAGAATAAAGACATGGGATATATTAAATAAGCTAAACTCAGAAAGTCAAGAGTCAAATCCCCCATTATGTATAATTATAGTACATCAATAAAAAATAGCAATGACAAAGGATTTCACAACCAATGCATTAATTTAATGATAAAGGCATTAATTTAATGATAAAAATACATGTTCAGAGGGCATTCTATGTGTATTAAAGATCATTAAAAACACTTTAACTTTTAAACTTGCTGAATTATGAATGGTGAAGACATAACGCTTTGAACTTTCAATGTCAGGGATTTTAACCTTGGGTAATCCACTTTTAAATATTTAATAATGATTATTTTTACATTATTTTACAACTTAACTTACTCATTAGTACATGGACAATTATTTCACTTTCAAAACATTTTTTAGTGAATTAAAAATACCATCATGCTCAGTTACTGTATAAATAACAGCTGAATTTACAATATCCCATGACTCTCTCTTAAAACCATTCACATTCTTCAATGATTTTAATGAATTGTACTTATTCCAATTCAATAAAAATGAATTAGAATGAAAAAAACCAAGAAATTAAAATGAGGAGCTAATCTAGTCAAAGCATGGCTTGAAAGTAAAAGAAAGCTAGATTTATGCTATGGCCAGGTACAAATGTACCGCAAAGAATCCTGATTATATATATAATTATAATATACTAAATAAAATAATGATAACAATAGAAGGGAAATAGATTAGAGCAAGTGGGTTTGGGGAAGGAAGATATTTTCCCTAACTCAAATATCAGAATTTTATTAATTCAGCTGTTTTTATATAGTAACTGAGCATGATGGTACTTTAATTCACTAAAATTCCCTTCAAAAGAGAAGGTACTGGGAAAGGAAATTGAGCAAATAATGTGCATTAATGAATATGGCATAACAAATCACACTATTATATATGAATATAATGTACCAATAAAAATTAATTAATAAAAAGAAAGGTGATTCCAT